AAATGTTCTTTGCCCCTGTCAGTACAACATTTATGAACATTGTAGATCTAAAGCATACTCATCCAAATAATACAGATGTTTAATCTTTGCTTTATGTTCCAAAGAACATTTTTTTTCTCCATGGCAAATTTAAAGGTTTCCAGTAATAAACAACAGTACAAACCCAGCCAAAATGTCACTGCCTTTATTCAATAAAGAATGATAGATAAGTGTTATTTCTATCTTCGCTCAAGGTTGGTAAACAGAGAAATTATTATTTTATCAACAGTTTTGGTAACTAGCTATTTATTCATTTATGTATACATTTGTTGTATTAATTCTGTTATTAACATTTTAATAGATTTATATATATTTTAATTGTGGTTGACTACTACCGTACCTAGCCTTTGTACTGTTTTTGGACATAATACACAGATTGATTGTAATTTCAAAGTGCTTCACTTTAGCAGGACTGTGTCTGCGTCATTTATCATTCTAATTTCCATATGAAAAATCACTATAGTCAATGATTTTCTTAATTTTCTGTTTCCAAATAATGTGGAAGGTGGTTTACCACACCCATAGTTCAGCAAGCTTGTTCTTTCAGAATATGGACTTTTAACTGGAAGACTTTTAAGTAAAGTTGTTTCTGTCCCCTTACTGTGACCCCATTGAAAACTGAATAACTGCTACCTAAGTAACACGTAGTTGTTTCTGTCCCCTTACTGTGACCCCATTGAAAACTGAATAACTGCTACCTAAGTAACACGTAGTTGTTTCTGTCCCCTTACTGTGACCCCATTGAAAACTGAATAACTGCTACCTAAGTAACACGTAAATGTACTTTTAATCAATATGCCACACAATCATTATGTAATTCCTTTGATTCCATGGAATGAAGATCTTGTTAGGAACTTTTCTTACTTCTAGGAAGTTTTTAGCATTTCTTTTCCTGTTAAAAGGCCTAAATTTCCTGTTTTCTGTATCTGTACAACAGTATTCTTTGTGATGGGAAGAGGTTCTGAATGATTACTATTTTCTGATGTCTTTGGGGTGTTGCTTGTTTCTTTAAAACAGGTTTGTTCTCTGTTGGAGCTTTTAAATAGATAATAATCCTAAAGGAATTTTTCCTGGAAGTTAAAATTTATTGTATAAGGCTAGCTATTTATTTGACCCTTCACCCCTGATGTTATTCAGAAATGTGCTTTGCATGTTACTCCAAACCATGATTAACTGTGGTTTATTGAGCATACCATATCATGCTAAACCATAAGCAATCATTATGGCTGCATTCACACATTGTGCTAAGCAAATCCAAGCAAAAACCATTGGGGCTTAACAGAATGTGTAAATAGCTGCTAGCAAGCCAAGACAGTCCAAAAGGTATTTGTAACATACCATTCTTGTTCCTGTTGGAATCTCCTTTCTGTTACATCTTCATTAAGGTGTTAACTAATTATAAGGCATATGTCTGCCAAATAAATAATAAATTGATGTCTCTCCTTTGGATTTCATTCTTTCACTCTGTTGCTCAATAGCATAATAATACAACCCAGTATTTGACTTTTTTTCCTCTAAGAGGATAAAACAGAATGTACATGTGATTGATCCTAGGTTGTAGGAGGTGCAAATATTGTGTACACTCTAAAAGCTGTTCTAATATTTTGGGAATGGTATGAACAAAGAAAGGCTCTGTGTTACCCTGAAGTCTAACAAATTTATTGTATTATACTTTTGGGGGTTGTACGGTCCATTTAATCAGATGTACGAGGGGTTATCTGAATGTCAAGGTGGGAAAACACCTTGTTAATTGTTATTGTTATTAATTGTTGTATGATAATACAGAGCCTCAGGGATTAGTACCCATTCCCATACATAAGCATGATTGTCTCTCTCTATTTATAACTTAGGATGACACATAACTTTCTCATTTATATATATGGGCTACAAGCCACAAATCCTACACCGTAAGAAATATTCCAGTCTTTATGATGCCACAAGAATTTTTTGTTTTCCTTACATGGACTGACACACTGACCTCTCAATAAATAGTGTGGTAGCTTGATTGATTAATTAATTAATTTGATTTCTAGGCTTCACATCTTGGGTGGTTTACAAAGAATGAAAAACATCAGTTTAAAAAGAAAATTCAACAACACTCCAAAAAACACAATGCATCCAAACAAACTCAAAATAAACATTGTTCTAATAGGCTCATGCAGCATTCTGCCCCAGTGCCTGAGGAAGGAACCAGGTTTGGCTGGGGAATTCTGGGAGTTGAAGTCCACTCATCTTAAAGGGGCCAAGTTTGGACAACACTGTCCTAAAGGCTGGCATGGGTGGGGCCGGGGGGGATGCTGTTTTGATGGACAGGCATGGTGACAGAGAAGACACACTTCCTGGGTCCCATGAAATAACACTGTTATATTGATAGGACACAGAGCATGCCAGTCCTATCGGACCTAGTAGGAAGATTTCATATGACTTCGTGATATTTGTTCTGATAATGTAAAACTGTAGAAATCGACATGGAACAAGATTATGTAGAAAAATACAGGTTCAGAATGTGTTTTTAAAGATATAAATGTTCTCCTTTCTTTGATGGATACCTTTCAGTTAAAAGCAATGCTAACTAGTACGTGATGAGATCGTATTGGGATGTGAA